CCATTCATCCATCAGTGGAATCCATCCCATTGTTTCTTTTATTTCTCAGAGCTGGTTTGATTCACAGCTCGTTTGGAAAGACAAATTCCACATTCCTCTCGTCAGGAAGTGGGGCGGGCTGGCAGGGAAGTGACAAAACCCAGCGATGTGGCACTTAGGACACGGTCTGGTGGTGAACAGTGGTTGGATTTGATCATCTAAGAGGTCTTTTCCAACCTCAAGGATTCCATGATTTTATTCCTTAACGCCGACCCTATTCCCAATCTGTTTGATCATCCATCATTTCCCACCTCCACGCTCCTCACTCCAGAGGAGACATTTCCCTCCCCAGCCCTGACTGAGGAGCCAATTCCCAGGGATGATTTCCTTCCAATCTGAGCTCTTTTCTCCCGAAATCCTCTCCCTGTTCACTCCGTGGCTCTGCAGTGACACGTTTGGACAACGCAGATTCCATGGGGAGATCCCTTTGGAGCTCAGCTGGAAGGTTTGGCTCTCCAGAGGGACAGGGATGCTGCAGGGAGGGAATCACAGAGCCTGGCACCTTTATTCCCTGGATTCCACAGGGTGACACTGGGAATGAGGTTTGTAAAACAGGGAAAACAGCAGGGTTTTCTGGGAAGAGCTGATCCCAGAAATACCTGAGCTGATGTCACCAGCTGAGTGACACCACTCGTGTCCTTAAGGGGACATTGCCAGGGCTGTTGGGACAGTGCTGAGCTCGTTCACTGTGTCATTTCGTGGCTGTCTGTAAATCCCTCCCTCTCCCTTTATAACTTTATTTACGGAGCACAACCCCCCCCCCCCCCCCAAATGTGAATTTTACTATTAAACCCCATTCAGGTGGGAAGGAAAAGCTCAGGAGCTCAAACTGGGAGTGAGCATCACCCAGCAAAGTGACAGGAACAAGTTTTAAAATGCAGGAAATGCTCAGAAATGGCTGAACCAAGTAAAAGAAGCTTTTTAGAGGGAGAATGAGCACACCAGAGCCCAGCTGTGCAGGAGGGGCAGCTCCTGATCCCACAGCACCTGCACCACAGACTAAAGGGCAGTGCTGGAAAATGGTGACACCGAGAATTTTTGCTTCCCAGTGCCTGGCATTAATCATCATCCCCAGATCCCTCCTAAAGATCTGTGCCTTCATCTCCACAAAAAATTCTCCTTGATGTGTCCCATTAAATTTTAACGTCTTGGCAGGGACAAGACCAGAGTGGTTCTCCCAATGCTGGTTCAGGATCAAACCATATCCCTGTTTTCCTTGATAGGAACTATAAAATAATCATGGATTGTGAGGGGGACAGCCCTGAGTGAGGGGGGATTTGTGAGTGCTCAGCATCGCTTGTGATAAAGAAGAAATGATGAGGAAGAAGATTCCAGCTCGATAGCAGCAGGGAATTATTAAGAATGAAGGCTTGTAAAGGCATGGAGAAATGGAGGATATGGATGGGACACCTTCAGTTGGGATGCTCAAGGATAGTTGGATGAAATGATTATGGGAATGGAAACCAGTGAAGTCTTCATTTAACCCCAAAGATCTCTGCTGAGGGAACTGGAAGCAGAGAAAAGGGAAAGAAAAATGAACTATGGATGTGAGAGCACGGCTCACAGCAGGGAACAGCCCAGGAATTCCTGGGTTTGAGAATCCAGTGGGACAAATCACTTTTTATAGCCTCAGAGGACAGCTGGGATCCCATTTGCTGGGATCTGCTGGGGTTCAGAGGTGAGCTCCCCAAATTTCCAGCAGGCAGAAGGAGCCCCACACTGCTCTGCACCCCAGGCAGCCACTCTGGAGCTCCAAATTCCTGCCGGGCACAGGAGCAGGGGGCTCCAGCAAGAGTCACAAAGTTCCAGGTGAGATCTGCACCAGGAATCCTTCTGGGACATTAAATGGCAGCACTGGGGCACCCTGCATGTCCTGGACTGGGAGGGTTACTCAGAATTCCACGAAGAACAGATAAAAAATGGAAAACATGGATTTTTTTAATTTTTTTTTTGTATTTAAGAGAAGTGAGAGCTGCCCACAGAAGCTGTGGCTGCCCCTGGATCCCTGGAAGTGTCCAAGGCCAGGTTGGAGCAGCCTGGGACAGTGGGAGATGTCCCTGCCCATGGCAGGGGCTGGAACTGGAGGATCCTGAGGGTCCCTTCCAAACATTCCATGAATTAAGGATTAAAGTCAAAGAGGGAAAAGAGCTCAGAGCTGTTCGTGTCACCTCCTGCTGTGCTGTGCAGGACACCACAGCCTCGTTTTTAATGACACCCATGGCCCAGCACTGCCCTGGCCAGCAGATCCTTGTCTTGTCCAAGGAATGGGATGGTCAGGGAATGTCACAGCGTTGGGAATTCCACAGCTGTCACCTGAATAAATGTGACACCGAGAGTGGCTCTTGTGCCACAAAGCCCCACAGGGCTCTGGGCTTCCCAGCTTCCCTCTTCCTGCCTCCCCATCCCATCATATCCCTCCTGCTGGTGGGAATTTCACCGTTGGTTCTCTTATTTTTCCATGGTTCCCAATCCCACTTGGTCACCCTGTGTTTCTCTACCAGAGCCCAGCAGGTTTGGGAACCCAAAAAAAAAAAACCCAAAAACCACAAGGGGAGAAGAATTGTTGGCTCAGGAACCAGCCCTGGCCTTTGGCTTGGTGTCACTGGCTGGAATTGTGTCCATTGGGAATTTTGGCTGCCTTGAAGCAGAAGTGAGCACTGCACTTCTTTCAAGGGGTCCAAATAAACCAAATTTGGGGTTATCTTCCATAACATTTATCCAACAGTTCCTCTTGCTGAGAAATGTGGAGACAGAAAATCCCAAGGCAAAGGAAAAATCACCAGAATTTAGCCACAATTTCTCCTCCTTCTCAGAAAAAAAAAAAAACAAACAAGTATCTCAGATCTATTTCTCTAAAAAATCAGCCCCAGTTGGCAATAACAGACCAGCCAAACTTGAAGAAATTGAAAATGAGTGTTTGAAATGGGAAATGTTGGGTGGCAT